AGAGGAGGGGGGTGGGGGGGGGGGGGGGGGGGGGGGGGGAGAGATAATTGTTCATTTATTTTAAGGTCGGAACAGAAAATGTGTTTCTTAACGATGTCAACTTCCTAGCTTTGGTTTTGCTCGTACAGAAAGCAATAAAATAAAAGCCAAGGACAGTAATCCTTCAATAGGTTTCACAAAAAGAAAGGTCATTTCTGCGTCACAAAAGGAACACGAGGAGAAATAGTTAAAACAACGCAGAATGGATGAGGGACCCAAAAAAAAAAAGGTTGAGGTGGGAGGGGGGAGAAAGTAACGAGAGAAAAAAAGTGGAACAAAAGCAAAACAAGGATTCATGTTACGACTGTTGAAGAGACGCGATAGCTTTGTTTACAAAGTGGAGCTGCTTATAGGTGGAGCTGTTACAGCACCAGGATCGATAACTGAGTCATTGCTAATTGAGCATAATTGACAAAGCTACAGCAGCCCAAGGTTGTAAACATTTTAGCTTTGTTTAATCACAAACTTCAGAATAATAATATAGACAATGAACTTACTGCCACGCGGAAAAAAATCAACCTCTTCAAATGAAACATGCATACATCCAGTTCATACGTTAAGCAAGCGATAATTTGTTTAAATATAACAATGACGAAATAACACCCCAAGCCTTTTTCACCGGGTTTATTGTGTCCCTTTACAGTTATAATACCAAATTTGATGTCTTATTTTCCACCAGTGTTTGCGAATAAATTCCATAATCTACTGAGAGGACATATAAAACTTTTTCGGAACACATAAAGCAAGAATTTTGTGTGTTTAAGTCTGATCGTTTCTTGTCAGCTGAGAGAGTTAAACAGCAATTTCTTGCAAACACTCAACCTTGCTCCAATCTCATCCCGGGAAACTGGTTTAAAACCAACCACATTCGCCAAAGGAGCAGACCTTTTCTCGAAATTGCCTACTGCAGGAAGAACAAAATTAGGCAACAACTGTTTTAAAAATAAAATTATATTTGAACCCATGCGGATAATTTTAAGTCAGAAATTTTACAGAATACATACTAAGGAACTTTGTGGCCATGCGGTCTGCTAATAAAATTTGGAAGACCCGATTTGATGGACCTGCAAACTGGGGTGGGTAAAAAAAGTCATTTGGAAGACCAAAAACAAGATGTAACGACAATAAACATGAATATATGGAAAATAGGTTGTTTGAATGTGAGGTGAATGGAAGTGACACTGGATCACACTCAATGGCTGCCGTCTTTCAGTTTTTATGGCGCGTGTGTACAGACAAATGTCAAAATATTACATGCAGAGCATCAGGGACAGAGTTTTGGACCAATTTAAATGGTTCCGCCAGATGCAGAAGAAACTGTGGGATGCTTTTGCATCATCACACAGTAGAAACAGATTATGTTTGAAATGCAACTCTCCGAGTGGGCAGAAACACATGACGAAAGGACATCCATCATTCATGCTGTGTCCAAATAATCAGGGGCTCCAACGTGCTGTTTCTTTATTCGAACGAATAAAATTAATACGTGCCCTGCCAAAACACGGCTAGATTGCTGGGCTGAATGTGGGAGTTAGTGAAAAGTTTTGGATGACGTAATTCAATTACAGATTTTACCACACTTCAAGCCTTTTAAGCCTAATATTAACTAAATGACCGGCCTGCTTCAATCAATAACTCTTCATTTTGTATTTACATCGTTCGTTTGATTATCAGTGTAAACATAAACTGCATCCTTAAACAGCATTAATCAGCTGATCTTTGAAATGGTAAAGTCTTTTCTTTGCGGTACGGACTGAATTCTTAAATTTTACGCAGACGAGCTTAGCGTACAGTCACAGCACCTCTTGAAAGGTCCAAAATTAGAAACTTCTAATGTGATTTCACTTTGAGTAATTCGATCTACCGAAGGTAAACAATCACTGTTATACGTAGGAAAATTTGCATGGAACGAGGAACTTGTTAGGGAGGTTGAATCTTTGGGTTCCAAAACTAATAAGTTAATACGTCGGCATAAAAAACATCGACTGCCAAGAAGGCCATTAGAATAGAGGGGTGCCTGTGGGTGTTTACGAACTAGTCTGACTTACTGACAGCGTCGTTACATAAACCATAAACAATTGACAGTTTGCGTTAAGGTTTACACATAGGCTTTTGTTTTGTCCCATAAGACTTACCAGGATTCCATTTCGGTTAGAGGCAAGGGGCTTTAAAAACAACAAATAAATTGTCAAAGGAACAGTCACGAATTAACCAAGCTCGTCACATAAATTTAAATCCTATATGCTGTTAGTATAAACTTTCATATATTTTTCACGAAGTCTACCATCAAAACAATTAATCGTAAATACGTTTTCAAGAGACTAGCAGTGTTCTCGATCTCTGGCCACCTTTTTCATGCCATTTGAGGACAGCAGTTCTTCAGAAGGAGGAGATTTGAGCATGGGACCTCCCGAATACCAATCAGGAGTGCTTAACACGAAGCCGTGATGTGTGTACGTAGGCCCGTACCACATTCTAAGACTTCGATTCTTTTACTTCCTTCTGGGTACTACGCAGACTGAACGCCTTCAGACCTTTCTTTGTTTAGGTAATCAATGACGTCACTGGTCGAGTGATCAGAAATTGGGAAGATGAACTGGGTTCAGATCCCATATTATTGGAAATCTGACTGACATCTTAATTATTTAATACATTACAATTCTCTAAGCGTGGTATGGGTGATGACATCTGCTCGATTTTAATACGGCATAAAGGTGTACATTTCTATACTGGAACAAACAGCTCGGTATACTGTTTACTGCTGGAAAGGTTTGGTTGATACTAGCCCTTGAAAGTTTTACTGCTGTTTCACAGGGCCGCGAATCAGAAATGCTTGATTACTGCTGTTATAAAACATCAAGCTACAATGCAACACTGTGTAAGCAGATACACGAGTTCATAACATAAAGGAGTGTTTGGAAAACTTGGTCAATTGAGCATTGTTAACAGTTTACTGCAGTGCAATCAAAGCATTAAAGGTTTATGCCTTCAGGCAGTCACATATGTTTATTGCATGTGTTCTGCTTCGACACAGAAAAATTTAATAAAGTGCGATAAACAAACACGCACTTCCGGCAGGCTACTTACTGCTACTGTGTAAAAGTTTCTTCTAGTGTTTGCATTCGTACCAATTATGTCAAAAATACATTATAGTAACCCCATCCATAAGAACTGCAGCACCCCCTATAATTTTTCAAAAATTGAAATATTTATTGTTTTATATAATTTGTAACACTTTATTTCCTATATATCATTATTCTAATATTGCCCCTTACGTTGTCATTATCCAATAATCGACTGAACTGAGGCGGGCGAGGAGTGCGAAGCAAAACGGTTTATATCATCCGGCTGCAAGGATTGTGTTGTTTTGCGATGGGTTAGATTGTCCTGGAAATTTTCGAGCGTATTCATCGGGTGGTCGTGGGGATGTCTTGGAAAAGTGCTGGAGAATTCCTTCATAAGTCCTGGAGAAATTCTGGATAAGTCGTAGAGTGGTGTAGGACAAGTCCTGGATAGTTTACGCGGAATTTCACTGGTCATGGATAAGTGCTGGAGAAGTCCTCGAAGGTTATGTGGAAGTCCTTAAGCGGCGGTGGGTTTTTTCTTATGCGGGTCGGTTATTTTGGATTAGTTGAAGTTTGATTCGGATAAGTGACACTGGATTAGGTTGCGTTGTTTCGGGTTAGGTTACAGTGGCCCGTCCATAGGAGCTGCATCACCCCCTTTAATTTTTCAAAAAATTATTGTTTGTGTTTATATAATTTGTAACACTTTATTTCCTCTGTATCATTATTTTAATATTGCCCTTTACGTTGTCATTATCCACTAATCGGCTGAACTGATAGTAAGTCCACGGGCGAGGAGTGATAAACAGAACGGGGCTATCATCCGGCTGAAAGGATTTCAGCGCGGCTAGACGGTCAAAAGTAGAGAGCGCGGTGCAAGCTGGAGCGACGGGCAGTTCACTTTTACAGCGCGTATCGGGGCTGCAGTCCCCACAGCCGGCTTATAGTAAACATGCTTGCCCGGTACCACGTGTTTTAAACTGGTTTCTGTATCACAAACTGTTTCGTGGTTATTGTTAAGGAGTGTTCAATAATTCTGTGTACTGACTATTTTTTGTTCTGATAATGATAATGAGCAAAGGAAGTGTATCATAGTTACGGCAATATGCGGGTATTGGGGGCCTTTCTGGAGGTAAAGCAGTCAGGGCGTGAACCAAACCTCTCTTTAATTATTTGTCTTTCGAAT